ACAAGGAGAAGCAACTGTTGTCAAGTTCTAACACGGGACTCTGTTAAATTGAAGCGTGTGAGGTTATTGTAAAATGCTAGTGCAACCTTGGGTAAAAGTACATTAAATTTGGCTCGTCTGAATTGTCCACTACAAACATGGACATGGTTAATAGCTGGGATTTTTAACATGCATATATCAACAAATAAAACCCTACTTCCGCGTGTTTTCTACTCCTGGTGCCCTTCCATCCCGACATGCAAACTCGTATGTTGACTATTAATGGGATAGATAAAAAAACTCTGATTGATTTAACTAAATATGGTAATTAGCAAAAATACAAATGTAACGTATATGTAACGATACGTTCCATTTTTGAAACTGTAACGGGAACGAGTTCCTTTTTTACATATGGAACTTGTAACGGGAACGCGTTCCAAAAATCAGAAGGAACGAGGAACGAGCTTTCGTTCCTTTTTTTGAGGAACGTGTACAACACTGAGTGCACGTCTACGCCGGAACAATTTCGGAAGCACCACAGCATCACCTAATCATGGCACAGGAACTACCAGCTTGAAGGCAGCTCTTCGGTGCGCCGCACACCCGTGCTCCGTGAAAGTGCACTTCTACGCCGGAACAATTTGTAAGCAGCACAGCACCATTCAGCACGGCACAGGAACTACCACCTTCAAGGCAGCCTTCCGGTGCGCCGCACAACCGAAGTGAGCCCTCGGTCATTTGATCGAAGCTGCACCACGATTGCACACCGCCAATCACGACTCACGCAATTTCCGTAGCTAAACTGCGTATCCAAATATATTGCACACGCTTCACTGCAAACCTCGAAGATTCCGATGGTCAACCAGAGCACAGAGACGTCGCCTTAAATTTTATCCTAGCGGTATCCGAATCACGAGGTCCGAGCAACGTAGGTCAGATTGTCTCTTCCGTGGCAATATCCCGGTCGGTCACCAGCGAAATGCACACCGTTCCTCCGTATCTTCACGTTATACCTACGTCAAACACCACGCTGAACTCAACTCGCTTTCGACCGGCTTCATATGACGGCTTCCGCGTCTGAAATCAACTCGCCGAGACGAACGACCACCAACAAAGCATCTGACAAGCTCCGGCCCAGCTGGGGCCAGCTGCTGCATGGGCGCTGCCATCTTTCCTGTGACGTCACGTATTTGGTTTGGTCCTGTGACGTGTGGTCAAATTTGCGTACAATGGCAGCCGCCTTATGGGGGTCACTTTCGAGTGCAGACCGGAACCCCGGTTTATCGCTCTAAGCCCCTCTACCTCGTTGTTGGAGAGGATGGATGGATGGATGGATGAATCCGGCTGAGCCCTTTGGATCGGGCGGTAGCTTACGCCACCTAGCCAACCAAGAGATTGTAACGCGTTGACGCCACCAAGCGGCAAGGCACTCAACTACAGCGCCCTTGACCGTACATCTGTGTCGTCGTCGCTCGTTAGCTCTCTTGTTTTATCGTGCGTAGCGCTCGTTTTTCCGTCGTGTTCCTGTTTTTGCAAAGAGTGTCTTCGTGTCTGTTAAAGTGTGTCGTCGTCGCGATCCAAGGAATGTGAAGCGTGTTTCACATGCAGCGATTTTGGCCCTGGAGCGGCGCGATTTCTGCCGTCGCGGCGCTCGTGCCACGCAACCGCTGGTGCTGGCCAGATTGCCGCTACGGCAGAAATCGCGCCGCTCTAGGGCCAAAACCGCTGCATGTGAACTAGGGTTGAGTGAAGTGTTTTCTAACTCTTAGTCCCGCGTTTCGTCCGCGATCTTTGCAGGTCGCGAGGTACATTTAACCGCGTTTGGTATTTTGTTTTTCGTAGAATATTTTTGGTAAATATACATTTGTAAATGTGAACCTTCGTCCTTCAGTGTGCGTTTTTTTTCCCGCGTTTCGTACACCTGTTGTGCTCGCGTTTGTGGGGCCTTTGTGCCCATAGTACTAAGTGCTCCTTAGTGTAGTACGTCTCTTCTGTGTTCTTTTCTGCCTTTATTTTTGGGGTTAATCATGCGCGTTTAGCCGGCGATTTGGCATTCTTCCCGCCCTTCTGCGCGCATTTTTCCACCGCTCTCCCGTCATTTTCTTTTTTTTTTCTCCTTCCTGGTTTTTCAACACGGCTTCCAGCGTCTGCCTTGCAGGTGTTTGAAGAACGTTTTGCACGCCTACTTCTTGTTTAGCTTTCCTTGTATTGCATATAAAAGCCTAGTTTAGTTCTTTCTTTTCTTATCATAAAAAGTGTCCGCGTTTTGAGCGCGTTTTTGCCGCGATAGACCGGCAGCTTTGAGGTCAGGTTTTAAGCCAGCTTTGGCCACAGTGACTCTAGTAACCTCACACGTTGCGTGTGGCTGACAAATTTTCCTAATTTTTATTTATTTTTTGGAGTAGTAATTTTCAGCGTGTAGTTGCAGCACGTACGTGGGCTTGCCAGCTTCCTATCGGTGGCGGCTTGCATGCTAAAGGCCAGAGGCAGCCCCACTGGGGGAGAACCCCTTAGGTTTAGAGTAGCGTTGTCCTGTTTAATTTAGGGAGGCTTGTCAGATCGCTTTCAGTGGTGCTGTTGCGCGCTAAAGGCAAGAGGCACCTTCCATTCGGAAAGATCCTTCAGGTATAGCATCATGCTGTGAGGCAGCTTTCCACTTACGCTGGGGTCTCTGCTTGACTTTTCCGTAATAGCGTTTAGCTAGAGAAGTGCCCATTTTGTTTACCTTTTTTTATTTTGGTTTAAGGACACCTCTTGCCACCCATCCTATCATATTGGGAATCTAAATGGTGGCAGCAGCGCTATTGCAACCGAAGACTTTCCATGCCCAGGTCCCACGAGGTGCGGCGAAGATAATGTAGCTAAGGGCGTCGCCAAAATGGTTTAATATTCCTGGGGTGTTGCGCATCCAGGGCTACGGTATAGGGAGGATTGAGGTGCACTTCAAGTACAAAAGTGCGGTGGATAGGATGCTGGTAGACACTAGCATTGATGTGGGGAAGGGCTTGCGGTCCTCTTTGCGTATCGATAGGTCGTGGGTTAAGGAGATCCGCGCCTTCCGGTACCCACTCGATCTGCCTGAGTCTTACCTCCGCAGCGTGCTGGGGGGGTTAGGCAAAGTTGAAAGTGTTAAACGGGAGTCGACGCGAGGTTTTGAGGGATAGAGCTCTGGGGTGTGCCGCGTTGCCGCGTCCGCCCAGACATGGAGCGTGCTGTGCTTACCTTCATGCGCGTGTTGAGCTACAACGTTCAGTGCGAGTATGACGGGGTGGTGCGCACGTGCCGTCGTTGTGGGCTGGCGGGACACATACAGGATGAATACAAAACGCCGCACTGTGATCGCTGCCGCAAGTACGGCCGTGAGGCGGTGCGGGGGTGCGTGGTGCGGGGCGACCATATATGTTCGCGTCCGTGGCAACGGGCCAGAAGCAGTGGGGGGACCCGCCTCTGGTGCTTGGAGTCGTTCCCATTGCTGTCTCGGATCCTTTTGTTGACGCAGTGCCTGGGAGGGCGGAGGGGGGGGGGGGGGATTTGGGGCTGCCGAGGTGACGCCTCCTGAAGCTGAGAAAGCGGTAGAGGAGGGGGGAGAGCCTGTGGCCAAGGGGGCGGAGGTTGCCCCTCCCCATCTGCCCACTGTGGCAGAAAGAAGGGGGGGGGGGCGCTGCTTCCTCCCTTCACAGGGGAAGCTTGGCAGATCGTGACACCCAAGAAAAGTAAACAGTGAACACACAGAGAAAAGAAATAAGACCGTTGTCTGTGATAACCCTGAGGAAGCTACAGACTCTCCCCCCGGCAAAAAAACTGATTCGGCAGTCACAGTAGAGTTCCTCGACATGCTCCCCCGAAGGGGGAGCAGAGTTGCGCATTTGTTTTCCCCGCGCCGGCCACGCCGCTATTCGCCGAGATCCATTACGTGAGGAGAAAAGCATCCTGCGCCGTGCAAGAAAGCCACCTTTACGGTCGCTCCGCCGACGTTTTTCGTGCCCCGGTGTATGTTCCCCTGCTTTCCGCCTCCTTTTCCTCCTCTCCCGTTTTCCATGCGCGGCGGCGCGCGCGGCGCCGCTATTCGCCAAATTTAGTCACGTGAGGAGCAAAGCATCCAGGGCGTGCGAGAAAGCCGGCGCTAAGGCCACTCGCCGAGGCTGAATGCGCAACTCTGCTACCGTAGGTAGCTATATACAGGAACTCTAAAGGCCCGTTCACACATGCAGCGGAGCGCTACAAGCATAGCGCTAACCTCGCGCTAAGCGCGTGCTGAGGGCAGCGTTCACCATCTTTGTATCGCACCGTCAAAACTGTTGCTCATGGCAGAGGATAAGTAGCCGACGACACGTGAGGAGCGCTACATGAGCGCTTCGCTGCATGTGAGAACCGGCCTTTAGTCACAGTGGTCTCGACAATCCAGGGCGAAGATTTGGGGTCTTCTTCTGACGAAAGTCACGCGGAGGGGGACTTGAGTGCTCCAGGGTGTGCGACGCGTCGAAGATGTCGGACACGGTGTATGGATTTTCTCGCGAATCTAGTGTCACACCCACGCCAAAACCAGAATGAATATGACTTGCTTCTGTTCGAACATAAATATCTCTTTCTCAAGGTTTAGTCCTTCTCAACCTGTTTTTCAAGAACTGTTTTGTTATTGCGTTACCCTTTTTTAATCCTCATCATGCTCTTATCAATTACTTTAGCTATCCTCATTTGCAGAGGCCTAACCTAAGCATCAAAACAAGCCGAAGTCATTGATATGGCCCGTAAAAACGACATTGACATCCTTCTTCTACAAGAAGCATTTGTTCGCAAACTGCGGGAGATCAGGCTCTTTGGTGCTAATCATGGTGCCAAATCTTACTGGAGCTACGGCCGAACAGGATCCTGCGGTGTGGCAGTGGTAATTGCCTCTCTTCCAGGACTCTGTTCACCGCTACTCTAGCCACAATGGTGGCCGCCTGCTCGTTGTGGATCTAGACGTTGGCATTAAAATCATATATGTGTACGCGCCAAACAGGGATCGTGATCAGAACGAGTTTTCTGAGGATCTAGAACATCATTTTATTGAGGCCTCTAATATTTTTATTGGCGGGAACTTTAACTGTGGGCTTGATCCACTTGACCGACGTCCACAGCAGGCAGGGGGGGTACCAAGGTCCTGGTGCAGTTGCTCTGAGACAGGTAGTGGGCGGCATGGGACTGATCGATGCCTGGCTAGCACACCGTCTTTTACAGCTGGGCATGACCTGAGCGGGACAGGTATCGCAAAGCAGGATAGATAGCTTTTATGTGTCTACGGCTGTCTCGGGGCAGCTTCACTCTACTCGGACTATAGACCGCGCACGAAGTGACCACAAGATGTTGGTGCTACGTGCGGTTGACACCGGATGGGTACCTAAGGGGAAGGGTGTATGACGCTTAAAACCACGGTTCCTTAGCGATGCGAGGGTTGTAAAAGATGTGCAAAAAATGATGAAACCACTCATTTCTCCCTTCATACGGCTAAGCGATTTGGATATCCTTAAGGGATCCTTGCGCAGCTTCCTGATGGACTGGGGAAAGAGGAAGGCAAAGGAGGACTGTGAACGAATTATAACGTTTTAGGGGCAATTATCCTTCTTGCAAAACGGAGGTCAACTGGTCCGGGCATTGCACCAGTCTTGACAGCGCTTCGGAGGGAGTTGAGGCGGGCACTGAAAGTTCGGTGGGACAACCTTAGGGCACAGGCAGGGGCAGAACAATAGAAAAGGGGGACCTGGTTTTCAAAACATTTGCTCCGACGCCATCTTGACGTCGGGGCCAATGTGTAGCGTAGGGCCCCAGGAGTTTTCTCCAGAAGAAATTGCTGAACAAGTGTAGCACGATGAAACTGACGGAAGTCGCTAACATGATACTTCTCGGATATCCCAATTCCAGAATGCCGTATCCGACACGTGCGCAGCAGTTGCAGCTGGTATTATGGCGGCAAATAAGCAATGTGCCTAACTGCAGAGTAGTGGTGTTCTACATAGTAAAATTTTGGGTGAATGAGAGAGTTAAGCCAGCTGAAACAAGATTGAAAGCAGAGTATGGGGAACAAACGACGTTTCTGACAAGCGTGTACGAATGGTTTTTCGACGGTTTGGTGAAGGACAATGGCCAAACGTTTGTCCAACTGCACTCGCACGGTCCAGCTCCTGACAAAAGAATGCAGCGGTATGTGGAGGCCCATGACTAATGCTTTGAAAAGCGGATAGTTGGATTTTTTTCAGATTATACATTTTTTCTTTTGCAATAAAAGTCTCGGCCAACCTTGAACGACCCTTGTATGTGCCTCTTCCACCATAAAGTTACGTGGTTGCTAAACATGCCGTATTTGAAACTGTGTGGGTGATTCTAAACGAAGCCCTCAATGATCTGTGAATGTGTTTGTGGCCGTCAGAGTGTGTACAAAAGCCGAAGAAAACAGGGACGACATTTGCCCCATCTTTCAGCTTGCAAGGATGTTCTAGTTGCTGTCAGGTGAAAGAAGACCAGATACTGTCACTTGTCTCGTTTTCTCAATTTTCGTGACGCATCTTGAAAACTCTTCATGTGGTAGAAGCCTAAAAGAAACAATTCCAAAAAACTTTCAGCCTTCCCCCTCTGGTGAAGCAGGAAGACCAGCGAAGCTGCACTATGATGGGATGACCTCAAGCACGACTTCTTGGACGACCTCAAGGACGACCTCCGGGACAACGTCTAGGACGACCACAAGACGACGCCTAGGGCGACCTCAGGGACGAAGTCTACGACGACCTCGAGGACGATTCAGGACGACCACGAGGACAGCGTTTACGACGGCCTCAAGGACGGCCTCAAGGATGACTTCTAGGACAACCTCAGGGACAACGTCTAGGACGACCTCGATGACGACTTCTACGACGACCTCGAGGACGACATCTAGGACGACGTCTAGAGAAATTCAGCCATTCCACTCTGGTTTCCACCAGAGCGGAAGGGCTGGAAAGGTTGCCGCCATCTATGAGCGAGCCGGTTGTCTTGTTGCCGCCGTCGCTCATAGATGGTGGTAGCTGTCCAGAGTTTCGTGTCGACATTTCTTCGCGGGGAACACGATCCTCGGGAAACCAGCCCTTAAAAACTCCGCTATAAAAGATCAAGATAACTGTGTTATGCCAGTCTACATTTAGCAACGAGACTCAACCAAGCTACTCAGCAAGGCTGACGACGAGAATGAGTTTTTGAAGATTCGTATTTTGTGAGTCACAACTCGGAACGCGTTGCCAAAATCACACGACGGGGTAGTTAACAAAACATTCCCAAACGTAAATAGCGCAAAATTTCCGTGTTTTCGGTTATTTTTACATTGTAAAGCGGCAGGGGGGGGGGGGGGGGGGGGGGGGGCTGCCCCAAACATAAACGCCGCAAAATACGCGTGTTTTGTAAAGCAGCAAAGCAGCCTTTCGTTTCGCCACCGCGACGGCGGCACGAAACGGCCAGCTCGGGACGCACCTTGCACGAGCACTTGAGAGACGTGCTCGATGCTCCCGAGAGAGGAGAACGCCACGCAGGTGTAGTTTGCCGACTCCTTGATGTTCTCCAGCACGAGGTTGTTGCGTCCCACGGGCACGTCGCTTTCCGGTATAAGGTCCACATGACCCCGGCGCCACTTGACGTACGGCATCGGGGAACCCACCGCCACGCAGGTCAGGTTAAGGTTTGCCCCGGGGGTGACCTCGTACGAAAACTCGGGGGGCACAGTGAAGTATGGCGAAACACGGCGCACTGGACACCCGAGATAAGAGGGGAAAGACCCTTGGTTACATCGTAAAAAGAGTGCTGGTTGGCTGGTTATGCAAGACATCTTAGAGTAGTGCTTCCGAAAGTATCGTACCCTGCAATGCATCAAAATATGAAATATGCCACGACGAACTCCCCGTCTCCTCCCTCCCCGACGGCTTTAAAGGGATACTTCAACGAAATTTGAAATATTCCCGTCGTGTTCAAAAATAGGTTGAATACGATCCACAATATCCGTAAATGACAATCGCAAGTTTGTATTTTGAGCCTGGTGGTTGTATTTTTCGTTATAAACGGCCCACTCTGGCAAGCGCTCGGAAAAGGCCCACCGGAGACCATGTGACACCGAACTCAATCGTGACGTAGGCCGTCTTGGGACGAGCAAAGCTATGGCGAGGCTGACGTCGAAAGGATGGCCTAGTCGTTCCAGCCACCGAAGCGGCTGCTTTTGTACGAACTTTGAGTGACGGATTAATCTTCTATAATCTTCTAGGGGAACAATAGCGACTTCTGCGACACACAAAAGGCATTCTCGGGAAGAGGAGAGTTCCTCCTGCCCCTCTTCTCTCGTCGTGGCCGGAGGCAAGACAACCTCCGTCACTAGCTGCCAAGGTTCCTAGACGGGCATTACAAGCGAGGCGTTAGCGACATCCACCAGGTGCTCTTTGCTAATCGTTTAATTCGTTTTAAAATTCCTTTTCGTGACTTTTTTAACAAGATATTGGTATGTTCGATGTGATACTGCTCCTTTGAACACATATAGACCGAAATTTCGTTGTAGTATCCCTTTAAACGATGCCCGAGCTTTTCTATTTCACCTACGAATAGTAATGCCAAAAAGTGAAGCGGAAATTTTCTTTGAGAGCTAAAATAGTCCAAGGTGCGTCAGCTGGGCTAGAAGCCCTCACAAAAGTGAAAAATACCAAGCGCCAAGAGGAGTAACCCGTTCTAATGACAAAAGAGGACTTATTTGTTAGAACACAGTTTCTCCAAACGAGGGCCGAGTTTGGACGACACCAGAACTTTCATTTCTGGCTCGATGTTGAGCTGCGACCTGTACTTTGTCTTCGTCTACGCCAGTAGGATAAACCAGTAGGATAAATAGTATTTTGGCATTTCGATGTAAATTACACGTTACATAAAGCTACGCCATTTTTCTTTAGAAACAAGAAAAACATCATATCCATTCCAGAAGGTTATAGAATGCTTCGTGCAATCGCCTGGAAAGCGCAATATAGACCTTTTATTCATAAAAGCGTCGAAAGGAGGCGTTGTTGCATTTTACAACCCCACTAACTTTCCGTCAAATGAAGGACAAGCAATCCTCGCCATAGCACGGCTTCTTGAAACGCTCATGAATTAATTGATGTCCAGTTTTCTAGGTGGCTAGCCAATGGACCGGTTAGCAAGAAATTGGCCGGAGATTTTTCAATACTCCCGTAACACTACCGATTCAATCCTTTACGTCGAATAGCGCGGCAGAGAGACTTCGCTAAATCCAAAACCTCTTGGTTTCTGTAGGGCTTCGTCATCCCAGGAATGTTAACATCAACGGGCTCGAAAGATACGCTGAAACGGAGCGAACGGAAGTCTTTTGGGAGGCAAGAGATGGCCTGTGTTTGTAAACATAAAAACGGTATATTGAAATCAATGCTACAAGCACTGGTTGTATTTACGACGTAAGATGACAAGAAGCGCCTGAAATAAAGCAGTGCCCTTGCTCACTTTCTGAGAATCCTTAGCTTGTTTGAAATAAGTGGATGTCAGTTCGTCTCCTTACCGCGGACATAGAGTCTCGCTATGGGCGAGATGGCAGTGCCCACGCTGTTTTCGGCGATGCACTCGTAGTTCCCTTGGTCTTCCTCCTGTGCATCGGAGATCTGCAGGGAACCTGGGGAGAGGAAAACAGAACGGAACAATTTGTTAACTTAAGACAACGCCTCGGTAACGTTGTGGCACTCTGAGCACGTCTCCGACCAAGCGTTTGGCATCCTACAGCGCCCGTGCTCCTGGATCGGTACCAGAGTGGCAACGAAGTATGTCGCAGAAGCAGAAGGTCCATCCCTTGGGGTATTGCCACCCTGACGGTTGGTTGTACACGTCCCGACGAAGAAGGCAAGCGGGAGCAACCTCCGCTGTTGTGCCATTGCTAGAATCGAGGCCAGCAACAGCACGAGGCACTGACGAAGAAACGGGTCAGAAATCGAGGGACCAAAAATAAAACTCTGTAAACGTGGTAGTTAGAGATGCGTTCTAGGCACCGCAACGAAGGCCTGTTTATAGACTTGCCACTTCTTAAGACCGAGTGCCTTGGAACTTGCTAAAATTTCTTAGAACGAGAGGACACGCTAGCGCCATCTATTGGGTAACACTGGAAACTTGGCGGTCCCGCATGTTTTCTATTTCTCTCGCGTATCATAGTTTCTTTCTTGGCTCAAAAAACTTCTGTCGACGTTATGAACGAAACAAAAACTAAGGCACCCAGTCAAAAATCGTTTACTGATCTTTATTGTACAACACCCCCCCGCGACTAGGAAAGGAGTGGTGAGGGGCTTTCCGTGATCCCTTTGCAATATGAAGCGGCAGTTCTCGAGTAATTGGAGCTCTTGACCCGCAATGGATCTCTTGGCTCGTGTTTGCCGAGTGAAAAGATCCAACGCGTCAGAAGATCCATTACTGGACCTTCTGACTCGTTGAACCTCTTGACGCGCCATGGATCTTTTGACTCGTTGGATCTCTTGACTCGTTGGACCTCTTGAGTGTCTTGACTCACATTGGATCTTTTGGCTCGTGTCTGGCGAGTCAAAAGATCAATTATTGAACCTCTTGACTCGTTGGATCATTTGACTCGTTGGATCTCTTGACCAGAAGCGGGCGTTAAGGGGGAGCGGAAAATTCCCGCTCCTTACGTGTTCTACGTTCTGCTTTCAACCATGTAACCATGTCGCGCCGCAGAGGAGCGGGGTGCGCTGCCCGCTGTCCTCACCCGCGGAGGAGCGGGCGCGCTGCCCGCTGTCCTCCGTGCTGCGGACAGCGGGGCGCGCTGCTTGTAGGAATGCGCTGCGTGTAGGAATGCTTTCGCACTCCTACACACCAGCAGTCTTACATGTACTCCTGTCATTTTTTTTTGCGTGTTTAAGACTACACTGTGCATCGTTTTAGATAACAAACAAATTAACGACCTTTGGGTTATCAGGGCTGTACAACACTAGAGCGCACGACAGTAGAGTGCCGACAGTAGAGCGCCGACAGTAGAGCGCCGCGACGTTAGAGCGCCGCGACGTTAGAGCCCGCGACTCGAGAGCGCGACGACGTTAGCGCGCGCGACTCAAGAGCGCTGCGACGTTAGCGCGCGTGCCTCTAGTGCGCAGCGACATTAGGAAGTTTTCGTAGACCGCGTTGCCCCCTCCGCTAAACGTTCCGCAACGAAGAAGTTGCTACTGCGCCTGCGCGCCGATAGCCTTGACTGTGGAGTTCCCGCTATATTGCGGAGGGCCTTGCGGGACGGCGAAAACGATCTACGAAAACTCCCTATTAGGGAGCTTTAGTAGACCGTGTTTCCACCTCCGCTACGAAGAAACCGCCACTGCGCCTGCATGCCGATGGCTTTCGCTGTAGAGTTCCGGGTAGCGGAGGAGCTTAGCGGAGGGGAGCGTCCGTCACGAGAGCGCACAGCCAGTCCAGCGTGAATGGCCCGACCGGACCGGCCACTTGTTCGGGCATCGAGTGTTTTATGTAAAATTGGCATGGATTTATGCCGCGGAATTCAGCAATGACACCTGCAAAATGAGTCGACGAAATTTTGGCGTTTGACAAACCAAGAAGTGTTACAAAAAGCTGAGAGCAGAAAAAAAAAAGCATATTTGTAGCGTGCATTTTCGCAGAAAAAAACAATGCAGCTGACCTAGCTTCATTTGTTCTTTGAGTTTGTATATCACAGATTTGCAGGGGAGGTTTTCATGTATCCGTCAAAAGACTGGAAAGATCTGCATCCGATAACATTGCGATCAGCTTTCCTTTGACGTGTGTTTTACTGATACATTTTTAGCGGTGAGCTTTCTTCTTTACGGACATGGACGTCAGAATACCCTTTAAACTTATGCAAGGGACGTCTAAATGGCCACCAAATAGATCGGAGCCCAAATGTCTGTCAAGAATAGACTAAATATAGCAAAAAGTAAACTATTTATAGTATATCCGAGAGGCGCACCGCAGCACTGTGAAGAAATCTTAGACTCGCTGCTCTCCTCAACTGCAAACTTTGTCGGTACCTATATGCCCCAGCCCACTCCCCTGCCCCCTTTTCTCTCCGAACTCAGTAAACAATTGGTTCGAAATTTCTGAGTCATACCCGTTTTATTTTTATTTTTTTTATTAAAATAAAAATTCAATCAATCAAAAATCACCAACGCTTCAATCCGATGAGTCGCACAATTTTGTTTTGTCTGTGGAGCCGCGGGTACATCACACATTTTGCGGTGTTCGCTCAACTGGGGTGCGCTCTCGCGTCGCGCGCTCAACTGGACGTGCGCTCTCATGACGTGCGCTCTAGTGTCAAGCGCGCTACTGTCGCAGCGCCCTCGTGTCGCGCGCTCTAACGTCGGCGCTCTAAAGACGCTCTCCCCGTTATCAGTGTCCCTTAAAAACCGAAGGTGTCCAGAGTGGCGATGCGTCCAGACAGCTCTTGAGAGTGAGAGAAAGGACGGGAGAGGAGTGGGTGCTCACCGCCGGACACCAGCGAGTATCTGGGGTTGGACATGTTGACGGGCACCTCGTTGTGGAGCCAGGAGATCCAGGGCTCGGGATCCCCCTCCGCCTGGCAGGGCAGCAGGGCGCTCCGGTTACGCTCCACCGCTTGCATGTGGGGCAGCAGCTGGAACTGCGGGAACCCCGGCGGGATCTCGTTCTCTGCATGCGAAAACGGCGGCCGCTTGGTTCATTTGCGTCTAAAGGCTTGACTCGCGGACAACTTACTCTGGCTACAGAGACAAGGCTATGCGTGCACGTGAATTCGCACGCCTTGAGCGCGATCAAGGCTGTGCACGTGCAGTTTCCACTTCTTTCGAAATGCGAATGAAAGGTGACCCCGAGTGCACTGATGCGTTACATGAGGGGTAAAAACAAACAACAAAGTGGGCGAAATTGGGACATATGTATCTCAAGACGTCTGAACCGACCCCAAAACTTTGCACACCTTCAGAGTTTTCCCGGTTGTCAGATGCCCCGGGCCTTTAGTGCCTCCGACACACAAACAAATTATTGTTTAAAAGGTTAAAAGGCGCGAACAAACAGGACGAAAAGAGAGACACGTACGACACGGACAGGCGCCATCCGTGTCGTACGTGTCTCTTTTTTCGTACTGTTTGTGCGCGCCTTTTTACCGATATGAACCAACTAGCCCCAACCAAAGTTTTATTGCAAATTATTGTTCCACGCGAAATGTCACGTGGGTTCCCGAAACGGGTGCGTAGGAGGACCCTCACAGGTTCCTCGAGCTGGGGATTTCCCGTGCTGCTATTTACTTAGAGCATAACACGTTGCACTGCCGCTTCAACCCCTCCACGGTCGAGATCATTGCCAAAAAAATGTGGTCGTTTTTTTTTTTTTTTTGCTTCCAAGGGAATGGTATAAAGAAGGGGTCAATGCGCAGGTTTCAACATGATAGCGTTTAGGAGCTCATGTCGCAGAAAATCTGTCGTCGGCAACGTTGGGACCATAACATTCCATAATGCAACGCGCGCAGCCATGTGTGACGTCACACGTGGCTGTGACGTCATGAACCTGCCAAACGTAGCGGAAAATTTTCCCGTCAAAAAGAGGGAAATGTTTCCGCTAAATATAGCGGAAAGGTTTTCCGCCAAATTTAGAGGAAATTCTCTGCAAAATTTAGCGGGTCTATAGTTTCATGACGTCGAAATCACGTGTGACGCCACGCGTGATGCGACATTACGTCACACGTGACGTCATGTAACATTACGTGACACGTGACGCTACCGACTAGACCAAGCACCCACGCTTGCACGGCTTACGCGCGGTTCAAACAGGCACGTAATACAAATACGGGCGCCGGAACCCGTAGCGACGTGAGCGCTCCCTCCGTACGGGTGGTGACGTAATTACGGTTTCCGGCGCCCGTAGTCAAGAGTTAAACAATTTTCCAGTTTCTACCTTCCGTGTCGTGACGTAGGTTTCCGTATTTTGTCCGCGATCAATCAGCGCGCCACGGGGGCCTGTGGTCGCGCGCCGTTCAAACCAAACCGTGAAGACTTGGATAAGTAACGGGGGCCGGAAGTGATTACGTAAGTACGGGTTCCGGCGCCCGGATTCCGTATTCCGAGTCTGTTTGAACCGCGCTTTAGGAACGAGCGCGGGTTTAATAAGGCTTTGCGAACAAGGCCCGATATCGCTACAGGGCTTCCCACTCTTAAGGCTGCGGTACCACGGCGGCCATCTTGAACAAATCATTAGTTGAACCACCAGGGCGGCGTTGGCTGTCCGTATGAGCTAGAGTAACTGTATAGGCTCTCCTTCCGCAAGCGGAGCATATAGACCTTTTCATTTCAGTAGTTGCCTGAGCGGCGGGTAGAGGGCGCTGGCGCACTCGGCGCCATTAGGTTGCTTCAATTTGGTCGGTTTCGGTTTCAACGTACACGCGATTGTGATGCTGTTTCATGCCACTTTCGATTAATTTTGCGATATGAATTTCTTTCTTGTAGCACACAGCGAATGAAACAATAGTATTGAGCCACTTGGCAAACCGCGAAGTGGTTTCGAGCCGAAATTGCGACCTTTTTTTACTAACACTATATGCGTCTGATTCCGTCCATCATTAATTTCGGCCAGGTTCAGCGGTGAAACAACTGCGCTGATGCACAGGGAAAAGTACCATTGTCCACGGCCGTACCTGCGGACACTAATTTCAAGAAGGAAAAAAGAAATAAAGAGCAGGACAAGCTCCTCCTGCAGCGTGCGCTCGTTGCCTGCCACCGTGCTTTGGCTGTGCGTGCACCGAGCGGTACGGAAGTAGATTGCTCGCGCTCAAGTCAGATATTGAACTGATCATCTTATATTGCAACAGACTATATTGCATGAGTGCTTAGTGAAAAATCAGGTCGACAACATGATTAACAATCTGCTGAATCACCAAGAACAGATGAACTGACGAGTTTACTGTTCGATGTTTGGTTTCCGTACACCAAACTTTTCTAACTTCGAGACTGGAAACGTCTTTTATAATGACTAGAAAAGTTTAATATAATCACGTAGATAATATAAAAAAGTGTTATTGTCTCGGCCTGTTTTATTTAAAGAAATTAACGCTCGAGAAATATTTTGATAGACCAGCCTAGGCTGATTAGAAAATTTCTTTAACTAAAGTACTCATTTACAGCATTTCAAAATATTGGCCTTATGAAATAAACTTTTTGTTATATGGACATTTGCTTACGACGTTCTCAAGGTATGAGAATGGCAAGATAAGTGAATTCCAGGCTTCAAATAAAGTCTGATAGTCATCTTTCGTAAAATTTGCCGAATAAAATTGAAGATCGCAAAAGAAATTATCTCCGATAAGTTTGGCTGAAGTCGAACGCCAGGCGCCACCCAATGGACCTTTGTAGAAAGCTGTTCACTGATTTGAAACGATGCGCTTTGCACATTTTGACGTCGCCATCTACTGAAAGTAACTCCGTATTCGAAGCCGACAACCGGCTACACTCGGGTGATTTTCGTGCAGAAGAATTCTTTTCGGCGTCACATTTTATGAATCATAGGCACTATCAAGTTGTCTGTGGCAGTTTCTTACGCGGGGAGTTCAAATATTTGTGTTGAAATAAATTAATTGAAACTGCATGGTTATATCAAAAAATGACTTAAGCAACTGAAAGACTATGGACATGGGACCAAGCAATATATACAATTCCGTAGAATTCATAAGTAAACCGATAAAGCGAATGCTTATATCACACACGCGATTAAGAACGTAAAACAGACATAGGTGTGATATTGCGAACAAACAAGTTGCCCAATGTTAAGGTACCATTATTTCTAGCATTAAAAATAATTCAAACTAAATGTTTGTTCCCGCGCCTTGTCCACTAGTTCCTTGGTGTAAGCAAAAGAAACTGTTTTCGATCTGTTGGAACTACAAAACACCATGTTTTCAGGGAAAACACGTGGCTAATTACGCTGAGTGTTTTTGTTTTCTTCCTTGACACCAATGCGCACTCATATATATATAATAACATTGGGCTTCCTATTGCAAATGGTCCGCCCTTATTAGTAGCCAAACCTCAGTTCTCATAAGTTATTGGTATTTGAACCCTCGAGGCTCTCTTCAAGTCATATATGTATTCAATGTGCGCAAGTGCTAACGCTGATTCCTGTTCCTATAAAACCTTTTCACACGTATCTCGCACGCCGACGGTAAACAATATTCAAAACGTGTTACAAAATCAACTACAGAAGTTGTGCGCATAATGATGTAATGCAATTGGATGGTAAGTATAAGTATCGGACGACACTTTACGGAGCAAAGCAAGAGACGCTGTGAAACGCGACGAAAAACACGAATTCAACGCATCCGCCAAGGTGCGGACGGGAGAGCGGAGCAACAAGTTGAAGCAACCTAATGGCGGCCGCATCACGTGATTCCAAGATGGCAGCGCCCATGCGGCGGAGGGTGAAAAGGTCTACTAGTATGAGCAAATGCTGAAAAACCTGCGCGCCAATTTCGAAACCCTTTTTCCCGTCGCTTGCCACCTTGAGTTTCCTTCTCCACTCTTACGCCCCTCCTTTCACGTGTTCACCCTCTGGCGCGTCGCGCCCACGTTCATTGTTGGGAGGACAATGTACCGGATAATCCCCAACTTGAGGCCACCTGCCCCAAATTGTCCGACTGCCAAGTGATTTGAGCGAGATAGGGGTTTTGACTTTTGAAGCAGTATGGAATAGTGTGACCGTCAGTTTTGAACTATGCCTTTTCGATACTGCATAAGTTGTGTACGGGGCTGGCCAAGGCACGGGCGCGAGGACGTAACTGTATACAATGCTTGGGTTGCAGGAGCACTCGCGCGCAGAAATGGTAGGACGCGCTTTCTGAAATCACACGCCTACATTCCGCAGCGTTGCAATCCTACGAGTAAAACAGAGTACATCTTCGGACAGTGCGTGAGTTGATGCCGGCCGTACGAAAGACACACCTCGCGCTTCCTGTCACTACTGCCGCTGCTTGCACGCGCTGCCGATTGGCGGTCCTTTCTTTATTTTGTTTCGTCGCTCTTTTGAAAATAATGAAACTAATATTTTCTCAGACCCTGCTCATCGTACCTCTGCACTACAGTTCTGTAAACACATGGTGATGTAATTTGAGATATGGGACGGAGTGTCTACATTCTTACTTCGTGTGTAATGCCGGTATAATATTCCTCTGCTGCCAGAGGGTCAAAATAATGGTAGGGTCGGCAGCAAAAACTATTTCAATGACCGAATTATGATCAAACACCAGTAAGAACATAAAAAACGAAATCACATGGGGACAATAAAAATATTGCTACAAGAGGATGGTGCGCGGGGCACAAACAATATTCGGAGTGACGTTGAGGGAACGCGACAAGCCAGATCTTTCCTGATGGCAGCCGTAAAAGTTGATCTGGTGCCTCGTTTTGATCGGCTTTGCACGGAAACTCGTCGACTAAAAAATTGGGTTGTGTGTGTGTTTATACAGCCTAGAACTTGGTCTGCTAAACAGGGGCGACGAGTCTCCCAGCTGTAGATGAGAGATTTAGCCAGTGCGGTACAGCCGCTAGCCTGGGGTCTTTAACGTGCATCACGCAGTAGTGATACACGACCGCACACCGGTACGATGCTCATCCAGATCGAAACGGGCAGGGGTGGGGCTCGAACCCAGG